CCCCTTGATCTACTAACAATCAAATAAACTGTTATAAACAAACAGACACAATTTTTAATGCGTGTACATTTTAAAACAAAAAGTAAAACAGTTTGCATTATTTTTCTGAAAAAGGCACATTTTTTCTAGACTTGCATAATTGTAACAGCTTGCAAGTTATTTGATCAATATTGTCATCCAGTAGCATACTTCCACTTTTACTTTTTACTTTTTCATCCTCTGTTGCCGTTAAGCGTCGAGGGAAGATGCAGTTTTCTATGGTAGGTCAGCTCTGCAGCTCTTTCAGTTGTGATATTATATTTTCCTTGGGTTTCCTTGACACCCTCGATCCACCTTTTGCGTGGCTTTCCAATTCCTTTTATAGCCTGAGTGCTTGGTGTTGTAGGCTCTCGAGGCTGGCTGGCTACGTAACAGATGGAAAAGTCATTTTTTTTCTGTCTCTCTACCTAATGCAGGCCGGACTCAATGCCGATAGCTACTCTTACTTCTCCATGTCTGTGCCTGTCTCGTGTTGTGATGTTAAGGGTTTACGGAGACATTTGTGATGCAGCGTAGTGGAATCAGGCTCTCGTCAATTCTTGGGCATGTAGAGTTATGGGTATGATCTTAAAGCTTGTTCACTTGTCTTTATTTGGATGAAAAAAATATCCATTTATCTTGAATACAAGTTGAGATATTTGCAAATGAAGGAGGTGGGGGTCACCTGTTTTTAGAGGAAAAATTAGTGAGAAAATGGCTGCCAAAGATTAGTTATTTCCTTAGCTTAAGAGTCCGTGATAACTGAAAATTTCCATTTTTGTGTCTTTAATCAACGTTTTTCAGAAAAATCTACACAGAAATGAGTTCTTTAATGGGAATGAAAGGTGTTGAGCCCCAAAACTAAAATTTGATAAAAATTCACAAACCTGCCGAAAAATGCAGGCTTCTTCACTTTGATTATTTTGACGAGAGTCTGATTACACCACGCTGCCTCACATTTCATTTCACGTGCGGTGATTTTGCTTTCATGGGTTTTACGTAATGTCCAGATCTAGCACAGGTTGCAATAGTATAGCGCGGCATTCTAAGTGACAGATACAAGAATTTTTTGAAAGTGGGTTTATAATTTTAGTTTCACCAGTATCCTTTCTGGGAAATATACAGTGCAGTCAGCAGACCGAATCGCTGAAATATGAACAAACTGACAAGAACGTTCGATGTTTATAGCCTGCATCCATTCCCACCTGAGTAAAATGAGGATAATTCGTGTAAAGTGTCTTACCCAAGGACACAAAGTCTATATCTCTGTCTGTCTGTCTGTCTGTCCGTCTCTCTCTCTTTCTCTCTCTCTCTCTCTCTCTCTCTCTCTCTCTCTGTAA